CCCTCCCTCCCATTAAAAAAAAAATCCTCAGATGAGGATTAAAAAAAAAAAAATCACAACATTATAATATTGAGGAATGATTAGCCACATTAGCCATATAGGGCAATGATGTGATTTGCCATATTGTGATAGATCACTCAGTAATTATTTAAGTTAAAATTGGCTCCTGTTGTGACAGAAAATCTTTTCAGTCTGATATAAACAAAAGGGCTATTTACTTGTTGCACAAAACTAAAAAATCTGTGAATAGGGCTTTTGACAGGTATGATCTGACTCAGGGCTTAAGTGACATCATCTGGATCCTCTATATAATATCATATATATGTATATACAGGGGTGGGCACAAGTTGTATGTGAAACACAGAGTTTATTCTTATATTATTATTTATTGATGTATTTTTCCATACGAACAACTGTAAACCTACTTTTGTCCACCCCTGTGTATGTACATAAACAAAAAGTAGAGTGTGTATATTATACTAGGATTTTATGGGAGAGTGAGATGTTAAAAACATAAACATGTGGTAAATGTTAAGGTCAGTGTGACCGTGACAGCAAGTGTAAGCAGTGTTTGGCATGTTGGAGTCATGGCTTTGCTGGTCTCTCCCCACAGTGTACAACTGGACCGTGGACGAGGTGGTGCAGTGGCTGATCACATATGTGGAGCTGCCTCAGTATGAAGAGACCTTCCGGAAGCTGCAGCTCAGTGGCCATGCCATGCCAAGGTCAGGAGGAGACTGGGTTCCGTCACTTGCAGTGCAGGGAATGGGCTGGAGTCAGCTTGCCTTTGGGTTGCTCCAGCCAGTTAAATGAGGTTACACCCTTTTTAGGGCAGAATCTATAGACCTCTCCTCTCCTCACATCTACTGTGCACTTGCTGTTAAGCAGGATGGCTATTCAGCACTCATTCTCTTATTTAATATTTCTATCAATACTGGAAATAGTACTAATAGCTGCCATTTATTGAATGCTTAGTACATGCCAGGTACTCTATTTCAACACTTTTTATACATTATCTCATTTAATTCTTACATCAATCCTGTAAGGTAGGTATTATTGTATAAAGATGATGAAACTGGCTAAGTAACTTTTCCAAGGTCACATGGCCAGCTAGAAGAAGCAAAACACTAGATCTGCGTAGATTTCAAAGCCTGTAGTGTTTCTCTTTTCTTTGTCACCCCCATCCCCCAAGAGCTGCCTCTTTTATTGCCCAGGAGCCGTGGGGCTCTTTTAGCCTCCCCTGAATTATCCACATATAGCTTAATCTAAAGACATCATGCAGAGATGGGTGCTGACTAGCATGGACCCAGCCTCCTCTCTGGAATGACTCTTCCAATAGCTATTGTGCCCTAACTTTTTGCCTCCTTTACAGGCACAATATACTAGGGCTTGGGGTGGGAGTAGAGTACTGCTTGGACTTCTTGGTATGTCAAACTTGTGCCATATGTCATTCTGTCACTAATCCATTTACTTATTCATTCAACACATATTTACTGGGTACCTACTCTGTGCCAAGCATTTGTACTAGGTGCTGGGGATAAAGGTGACAATAACCTGCCCTTGTCCTCAAAGGGCTTACTGTCTGGTAGGTGCTGATTGCGTATAATCTATCATCTTATTATGTAGGTGCATCTGGTTATGAGCTTCAGCATAGGTGAAAGGGGAAGGTGAAGCTGTTGGTATGCCCACACATTGCAGTCTCCAGCCACGGACCTATTGGGTACTGCTGTTTAGGCCTACCTGAGCTGGCTGTTCCCTCCTCTGTTGCCCGCAGTCTCCTCTTCACAGCTTTTTCCTACTCTGGAGAGAGTAATACTGTTAATATTTGTGCATCCCTTTATAGAGTGCTTTCCTACCTATTATTTCAGTTGATTCTCACAATTCTGGGAGGAAGGAATTACTGTCCCAACTTTAGGCAAACGAACTGAATTTCAGATATTTTGTGATTTATCCAAGCTGGTAAGTGGCAGAGCTTGAATTTAAAAAAAAAGTTTGCCTGGTTCTAAGTGCCCTGCTTTTTTCACTGCATCTTCCTCTTGCCCCATGTAGTTGAAGATGGACTTCCTGGAAATATTCAGTTTAGTTCTACTTGACAAAACTTTACCAAGCACCTACCATATGCCATGCTCTCTTCTGGACCCTGCAGACAAAGACATGCATTAGATCCCATATCCATGTTTAATGGTCAAGACATGCAATTGAATAGGTGATTGACCGTGAAGCTCCAGGGTGTAGGTTTCTTTCTCATTATCCATGGAAATAGCGGTAGTACTTTGTGGATCATTGGACCGTTTCATCTTGAGGAATGGCTATGACTTGGATTAAAACTGTAAAGCCTAGGATAAGAAGATAGGTCTCAGGCCATGGGGTTCACTTCACCCTCCTGTGGCTAGAATTAGAGCTAGGATCAGATCCAGCTAGGCTGGGCTCAGGAAAAGAAGTCAAGCTGTGGCACCTTAGTGACAGTGGGAAGCATGGAGCCATCAGTGCCAAGAGTAGGGATGGTTCTAGGCCCATCACTAGGCAACATGGTATAATGGAAAGAATCTAGCAGATTTGAGATTGTTTCTTGGCTTTGCCACTTACTTGCTATGTGACTTTGGGCTAGTTATTCAACTCTAAGTCTCAGTTTTTGTATCTGTAAAGTGGAGCTGGTAATAGAACTGGGTTTTTAAAGTCATGAGAACTAAATGAGGTATTGTATGTAAAATGTCAGAATAGTACAAGATACACAGTAGTTGCTTAGGAAATGTTAGCTAGAAAATGTTTTTCATTTCATTGCTTAGAAGTAGATAGCATTCAAGTTCATAGGTTTCTTTGACAAATAAACTGTACAAAAGATGACACTTATTTTTATCAGTGAGATGAAGTCCAGCACACCTGGTAGTGCTCTAAAGAGGGGCCCCAAGAATTCCCAGGCTTGTAGGAAGCATCTGATTTTACGTAAGTTTACACAGAAGGAAACCGAGGCCCCAGGGGAGGGACTTAGCAGCTTGTGATTGTACAAGTGAGTCACTCAGTGATAGAGCTGAGCCCAGAAACCAGATCTTCTGACCCCCTACTTCCCATCAGTGTCTCATTGCCTCTGTTGTAGGTGGGCTCAATTGCTTTCCAGGGCTAGAGAAGGAAGTAGCTGCTCCTGCATGCCCAGGCAGGAGTATAAACACACACTGTGATGTCAGAAGCTTCTTTTCTACCTAGAGGAACAAAGATATGCATTCGAAAAAAGCGCTGGCCTTATGGAGTAGTACAGCAGTAAATGCTTACTTGTGGGACCCAGACCAGTGGCTTTTCAATCTTTCGTATCTTAGACTCTTCTCCTCCTATACCCACTGTGTTCCAGCAGGAGATAAACAAAGTCCAGTTTTTCTGAGGTCATTTTCTTGTTTACAGACCCTCTCTTATTAGAGTTATTATTAACAGTATGGTTGAAGGTCATAAAAATTATAGTAATCTGATTGGGAGTGAATTACAGTGAATCAACTGCAAGCTAACAAAGTATGCAGCATTTGTTATCAGTAGGTTTATATTTAATGAGTACTAAATATTTTTTATTATTAAATACATTTAATTGGGTTAGTATTAGGATAATTCAGAGGTCCCCAGAATCACTGGGTCATGTAGCATGACATTTTAACAAGGGCTGGACAGGAGAATTCATTTAAAAATGGTGGGAGTGTGGAGACAGATACACAGTGGATAATCCCTATAGGGGGAAGTACAACAGAAAATTTACAGCTGGGTGTGGGAATGGTCACAAATGGATAATCCTTAGAGAGTAGGATACTCAGGAGAGGTGGACATGTAGAGAAGGGTGAACAAATTCTTGGTAGATGTTACCTGTCCCTGCATACTCCCCATTGAGATCCACCGGTAGAGACTCTGTTCTAGCATGCAGAGGAGAGCAGTCACTGGGAGCTAGAAGTCATGGAAGTGTCCCTGGAAGAGGTGAGGAGTTTTACCAGGATCCTTCCTGGCTTTGCTGGCAGGGAACTGAGTGCCTACTCTTTGCCTCAACAGGCTTGCTGTAACCAACACCACCATGACAGGGACTGTGCTGAAGATGACAGACCGGAGCCATCGGCAGAAGCTGCAGCTGAAGGCCCTGGACACAGTGCTCTTTGGGCCTCCTCTCTGTGAGTCCTGTGGAGAGAAGGGCTGCTGGTGTGCCATTGAACCCAAGGCTGTTGGAGTGGCTGGGTAGAGGTCCCAGGTCTCCTAGGCCCACCTGCAAGGCAGTGCCTCCACCTTGCTACTGCTATTGAGATATGAAATGGCTTTACATTTTAGTCTAGCCAGATATCAACATCTATTCATTAGATACATTAATAAAACATCTGCTTTGTGCCAGTGCTGTGCTAGAACCTGTAGAAGACCTGGATGAATCATATTCTGCCCTCAAGGGATACAATGAATGTTCTAGACAGATACATAGTACTTCTGAGGTCCAGAGGAGGGATGGAGAAGGTGGCATGTGAGCTCTGCCTATAAGGATAGGTAGGACTATATTCCATGGAGGTGGCTAGACAGGGTGTTTTAGGTGGAGGAAACACCCTGAGCAGGAACACAAGGCTAAAATATGAAAGTTATGCTCAGGGATAAAAGTAACTGATAGAGGCTGAATGCTGTTTAGCTGTTCCCTTCTCTCACTGTGTGACATTGTGTAGGTCACTTTTCTCAGGGTGTGTTTTCTGATTTGTATCATGAAACAATTGAGCTAATGGATCCTTAAGATTCCTTTCAGCTACTACATTCTATAATTTTGGGGAGAAACTCTTTGGTTGATAAGGGTCCTGTGTAAAAGACAGAGGAGGTCTGTTTCTTCCTACTACTATATATATCTTGTACCTTTAGGAATTTTGTGGCCCTTGCCTTATCAAGTGATCTTTGGCAATTCAGTTCTCCTGCCTACATTTAATTTTCCTCACCTATAAAATGGGCTTGGTCAGTAAAGCTGTTACTGGCTCTCTCATTCAAGTACTCAGATAGAGCTAGAGCTGAGTACACTCCTGGGAGCTATGCTTTTGAATCCAGCAGCTGTCCTGATGGCAAATATTGTTTTTACACTTTCCTACTGATGCTTGTTAAAGAAAATTTTTGAAAATTACCAGCTGGAATCTGAGGAAAATACTAGGAAGGCCTTTGCCAGGAGACTTCTAAAAGGGTGTGGCCGTGCCTAGTGGAGACCTGCAAAGAATCCCTTGATCTGTGTCCCTCTAAAGTCTATGCTCTGTGTTCCCATCTGAGCATGAACTAAAACCCCTAGTCCAGTGTTGCTCCCTGTCCAGCACCCACGCAGGACTTAGAATGAGGGCCTATGCTGGCTCTGACCTGTGTTCTGCACCTGGATGAGTTCTTAGGGCTATGGTTCTCACACCTCACCATAAGGCATATAGTAGGTAAACACCCCAGAGAACCTGGGCCAGTTATAGCTGCCAGCCATGGCTACCTTAATGAAAGTCCTGCCATTGGTCTGAGGTGTGAGAAATCTCAAAATTAGAGGTTGTTGTGCAGTAGCCAGGAGGGTCTGCTGAGTGAGCAGGATCCATCTTTACAGCAGCTTCGAAGCTTGGGAAGAGGGAAAAGGGATCAGACTGGCTCAGCAGAGGTGTCAACTCAGGGTCCACGACATCTCAGTCCTCCCCATGTGACCACAGAGCAGCACATGGCCCTTTACAGACTTTTCCACCCTGCAAAGTTGGCTCTAGGCTTGGAGGCCCATGTGGGGCTCCCCTAGCAGTGCCAGTAGCCCCAGGTGTTAGGTGTGCTCTGAGAAGCAAAGGCCCAAGGCAGTGTCCAGTTGGAGGCCTGCGCTGATGTTCACTCTGGCAGGACATCATTCATTGAGGGGGCCTTTTCTCCTCTGCAGATAATTTCTCAAGAGAAAATGATGCTCAAAGAGATGAGGTGAGTTTTTAGAGGTCATTCAGCTTTTAAGTGGCAGAGCCATGACTCAAACCCAGGTCTTTAACTTATATTTCACTGCTCTTTCTACTCTAATCCTACCCTCTACTTTTGGTAGAGGAAACAAGTTATAAAGAGTTCTAGCTTTGAAATCAAGCAAACTGTCTCTGTCACTCAGAAGTTTTGTGACTTTGGGCATATTCCTAAGGTTCTCTATGTCCCAATTTCTTCTAAACAAATGGTAACCACTATTTTCAGTGTACAGTATGCCTGCTGTGCTTAGTACTGGGCTAGGGACTACTGTGCCCTTGGTGCTTCAATGGGAGTATTGAGAAGGGTACAGGGAGACGCCTGCCAAGTAATTTTTAGGGTTGGGAGAGTTGTAGAGAGGAAAAGACAAGACTACAGCTTGTCTTCCTTCTTCAGTGGCTCAGATAACAGGGAAGAGTCATTGGTAAGCAGGAGTGGCTGCCTCTCGGGCAAAGCTTGCTCTGGTCTCAGCTCTATCCTTACCTTCTTTCTCCTTTCTGTTATGCTCCAACTCACCCTTCCAGTCTCTACAGCCTCTTCCCAGGAATTCTTCCCTCTTACTCTCCTCTGGGAAGCCACAGTGCTTTATACCTGAATCCTTTATAAAATTCTGTTTCCCTCTCTGCTGCCATTTAAACTGGAAGCTCCTCAGGGTTGAAACAGCTTTGTCCATCTGTCATCAGCACTTAACATAAGACCCAGCAAGTAGTAGGTGTCAGGTGATGTATGCTAGAAGTTACAAAGAAGGAGGCTGGGCTTTGCCAGAGAGAGCTACAGGAGTGAGAGAAGATGGGGCGAGAATCCTTTCCAGCTTGGTTCTGGGGAGAACTGCTACCTATGGAGCATCTTTGGATAGGGGAGGCGGTTAAAGCACTTTTGGGGGCTATAACCAGAAGTGACAGGAACAGCTGTTCCAGGTTAAACAGACACCTCAGGACAGACAGAAGACTGCATAAATGACAAAAGATATTCCTAGCACATATTTATGGGCAGCAGAGAGNACACCTCAGGACAGACAGAAGACTGCATAAATGACAAAAGATATTCCTAGCACATATTTATGTGCTAGGTGGAGAGAAGAGATTTGGAGAAGGAATTCCAGAAAGTGATAATGATTAGAGGCTCACTTCTCAGTGCTAACTGGAACCTTGAAAATTTTCACCATTACCCCCGACTCTGTTGACATGTCATCATCTCATTAGTTTACACTCTCCTTCCCTGCCGTAGGCCCGATTGTGTGAACAGTTGACCTCATTTTGTTAAAATCTATTTACAGCACTTGGGCTAGGAATTCTGCCACCTTCTGGACTCTCAGGCTCCAGCCAGTTTCCCTGAGTTAGCTCTGTTCACTTGGCCAGCCATACCTGCTCTCATGAAACTTCCATGGTCTCTCTGCCCTGGCTATGTTCCCTGGGTGCGAGGTAGATTTTGAGAGCTGAGCTTATGTAGGACAGCTGGCCATATTCTTCATGTCTCCAGGAGCTGGTATTTGCCCTTCACATGCACTTTATATTGTACAACTCCACACCCCTTTTCGGGCTAAAACCTCTGCTCACTGCCTTTGCTGAGTACTTGCTCTGGTTCAGGCTCTATGCTAAGTATGGAGCTACAAAGATAAGTTTTATGCCTCGCCCTGAGGAACTCACAGACTATCAGAAAGAAGGTGACTGACATGAAAGTTGAAAAACGCACAAGGCAGTCCCTGAGAATAGCTAGAGATAAACCATGTTTACCTGTCCAAAGAGAGGGTTGACCAGGGATCCTAGTTCAGAGGAGAAGGAATGGAAGGATCTCTGTGGACTGTGGTGGGCTTGGAAGGTAGGTAGTAGGAACTGAAGAATGGGAATGGGATTATGATGGGAAGAAGTACATCATTAGTTAGGCATAGACTAGACACTTGATTTCCCTATTTTACCCTCTTTTCCTGACATAATAATTTATAGATTCCATATTATTCAGGGTTCTCCAGAGAAACAGAGCCAATAGGACACATATATAGATATGTGTAAGAGATTTATTATAAGAATTGGCTCACGTAATTATGGAGGCCAAGAGTCCCATGATCTACCATGTGCAAGCTGGAGAACCAGGAAAGCCAGTGGTGTAATTCAGCCCAATTCCAAAGGCCTGAGAACCAGGGATGATGATGGTGTAAGTCTGAGTCCAAAGGCTAGAGAATCAGGGGGCTGATGGTGTAAGTCCCTGTCTGAGTGTGAGTACCTGAGAACCAGGAACACTGATGGAAGAGGGCAGGAAAAGATGGATGCCTCAGTTCAAGCTGAGAGAGGAAGTCCACCCTTCCTCCACCTTTGGTTCTACTCAGGCCCTCAGTGGCCTGAGGATGATTGGATGATGCCCACTCACTTTAGTGAAGATGATCTTCTTTACTCAGTCTACCAATTCAAATACTAATCCCTTATGAAGACAACCTCACAGACACACCCAGAAATAATGTTTTACCAGCTACCTGGGTATTCCTTAGCCCAGTCAAGTTGACACAAAATTAACCATCATAGATTCATTTAGAACTGTGGGGTTCAGACTAAGTCCCCACTGAAGGGACCTGACAATTCTCATACCAACTTCTCCAGTCCCTGTCTCTTCCTCAAACTCCATATCCTCATTCTTAATTACTTATTGGATACGTCTGTGTGAATATTTTCAAAACACCTCTAAGTACTTTCATTTACAACTACACATTTGATCTCTTTAGTAATTCTGTGGTAACGCATTTTATAGCTGAGGAAGCTGAGATCCAGATGGGGGAAGTGAATTTCATAACAAATTGGGCCAGAGGACAGCATAGAACCCACACTTCCTAATAGTCAGTGTAGGATGCTTCCTTTGATGGCAGACTTTCTCTACATGAGGACTTAGTTTAACTTTAAAGGCCTGTCCTGATGGCAATGTCACAGTCAGCTTTCAAGATGTTGTTTGGAGGAAAAACTGAGGCCTTGGAACTCTTAGTCACACTCTGGCTAGATCAGGAGATATAGGCCTCTCCATGGTGAGAGATGCTTGCAAGTAACAAAGCAGAAACAATACCTGCTGCATGAGTATGAAAGTTGTAATTACAAGTGGGTGTAGCAGGAAGACCATGCAGTCAGGCATATCTGGATTTGAATCCCAGCTCTGTCACTTTTAATGAGCTCTAGCAAGTTAGTACTCCTGTGAGCCACAGTTTTCTGGTCTATAGAATGGGAATACTATTACCCTACGTTAGAGTGTAGTTGTGAGAATTAGAGGTGGTGAATATAAGTGCCTGATACATTATATATTTGCTCTGTTTCTCTTCCTCTTATGTGGATTAAGGAGAGGGAGATATGCTTGAGGCTTATCATTAACAATTCAATCCCACAAATATTTATTGAGTGCCTCTGTGGGTTAGTTGGTGCTGTGCTAGCCACTGGCATATAGACAAGCGATGATCACAGGGGCCGTGGAGTGAATTAACCATATTAGATTCATTTTCTTCCCACCAAGCTTTGTTGCTCATGGGATGTGACAGGCAGTATAGCTGAGCTTCAGCTATGCATTTGACAAGGCAGAGGGATGTATGTTTGGGGTGGATGCTTGTACATTTAAGTGAAGTCAAAACTGGTTGAAGAGATCCAGTGGGTGCTGATAGGTGGAACAGTATTATCTTAGGTCCTATTTTGGTCCTGGCCATTCGGAATTCATATTCATGACTTGGATGAGAATGTGAAGCTGGAAAAAATAATAGCATCTTGTTCCAATTTGATCTGGACAAGGTTGAATAAAGGACTGAATAGAATAGATAAGCACCCAGTCTGCATGACCACCTTAAAAATTTGAAGTGTTGGAGGGTGCTGGTTGATGGAGTCTTGTTTGAACAAGAGTGCCTTTGACTTTCCATAGGAATGTACAGGGGATGTTGGAATTGAAAAACCCTGGGAAGCCAAGGCTGGCAGTCCTAAACAAACAGGAGACAGAGTGTATCCCAGCCTCTGGTAGAGGCTGAGTAGGAGGCTTGTGTGTTCCAGAAAGAAAGGCAGCTTTCCGTACGGCAGAGATATCTCTTCTTGGGACCTGAAGGGAAGAGAGTGAGGACTTGAGTATGGCTGGAAGTGTAGGCTTGCCTGGAGGCTAGGAGATGGCTGCTAGAGGACCCTTAGTTTTCTCTATGAGAACCTGGCATAAACATGTAAAGGACATGGCTCCCACCCGGGACCTAGTAACTCCCCTCCCTTGGATAGAAATAGAATGTGCTAAACTGTCTTTGATCCCATACCATCTCCATGTCTTGCCACTCAGCCTTTCAATGAGGAGCTATGAATATAACCCCTTTTCTCAATCTGGGCCTCATTCTCATGCGGTTTCCAGCTACATGTGTTTTCTTCTGCTGTCTAGACCCTGCCTCAACTTGGTGGCTCCACCTGGGACCTTTTGGATTCTCATTAGCCCCTTATCCTTACCACACACTGACATTTTGTCAGTCCTACTTTCCTCTCTCCAGTCTGAGAGCAAACAGCTGTACACAGGAGGTCATTCCCTTTTCTTCCTTCCCTGACGCCCACATTTGGGGTCCTCTGAGCACACAGCTACTCTATCCCAAGTTGAGTGCAACCCAGGCAGGGGCTACGGCAGCAGCCCTCTTCTCCTTAGGTGTCTCCTTCAGGTCTCCTGCGCTGTGGCCCCAGACCCATATCTGGTATACTAGGAACAATGTCAGGCTCCAGGAGTGCCCCTCGTCTGGTTGGCTCAATTCTTAGGACATGGCCTTTGCTCTTATCTTCTACTGTTGTTCCTTGATTAGCTTTTCAGTTTTGCTCTGGAGATTGATTATTACTCTGAATCGCAGTTGGTGGCTGAGGCCCTGGCCACTTTACCAAATTGCTACCAGGCATTCTCAGCAGGTAGCCCTGCCCCTCTATTCCTGGCATGCGGACTGTTTTATATATACCAATCTCTTGAGGCTACTCCTGTCCTACCTGGTCTGTGGACTGAGCCACAAATGCTCTCCATACATGAGATTTACAGACCTTTACCTGATCTGGACTTTGCCCCGTGTACCTACAATAGCTTAGTAGTCCAGGAGACCCAGCTTCTGTAGTAACCTCAGTTCCACAGCCAGACCTCAAGCTCTAGTGACATTGCTTTATACCCTTACCAGCCATCCCTTTCTACCTGCTCTAGCACCCTAGTGTTACCTACCATGTAGGACGGAAGCCACTGCATCTGGGTATGTGGGCTCATCGCAGACCAGAGATGACTGGCATGTATTGAGAAGACACTAGTGCTCTCCTCTTCACTGCATATTAGGGGAGCATGATTTAATAAGTTTCCTCCGTTGCTCTATGGCCTTTCATCCTTTGCAAACTAGGCCTTGACTTAGCAGAGAAACAGGCACAGAACTTACAATAATAGTGTATGACAAGTATGTGTCTAAGAACAGAAACAGAGGCTTCATGGTGGAGGAGGTGCAGTGGACTCTGCAAGGCTAAGTGTGCAGTAGGCAGCCTGACTCACCATGCCCTTCCTCTCTGGCAGTGACCCGCCATAATCACCTCAAGGACTTCATGCTGGTGGTGTCTATCGTTATTGGTGTGGGTGGCTGCTGGTTTGCTTATATCCAGAACCGTTACTCCAAGGAACACATGAAGAAGATGATGAAGGATCTGGAGGGATTACACCGAGCTGAGCAGAGTCTGCATGACCTTCAGGAAAGGTAAGGCCCTGTCCCTTCCCCACAGCCCTGGTGTTGCTAGCTCTTGGGAACTTCCTGTATCAGCTCAGGTTGTGGGCTACCTGGTCCCTGGGACCATGCTGACACGGCTGCCCAGGCTGTGCCATCCTTCCAAAATTGCATTGGGAGTCCAGGTTCCTGCCATTCCAGTTGCATGGGCAAGTATTCTTCCCCAGGGCAGAAGCTTATTTCTGTCTTTTTCCCCTCTCAGCTTCAGAGGGAGAAATGTGTAGCTGTCAGAAGTCTTGAACTTCCCTGGTTGGATGGCTTGTTAGGGGTCATTCTATCCTTGCCCTACCTTTGCTTCATTTCCTATAGAAATAGATAAAATGAATTGTTCTTCACTGTTCCCCAGAGAAACCACAAATCTATCTTCCTAATACCTTCCAAATTTCATAAGTACTCACTTGTATGACTTTGGGTAAATCCCTTTCCCCTCTAGGACTTATTTCCTCATCAGTAATATGAAAGTGTCGAACTAGAACATTAATGACCTAGTTCTGATAGTCTGGGATTCTGTATAAATAAAACTTGGCTTAAAACTACTATAGAAGATCTTGCTGTGGAAAAAAGGTGCCAGTCGATCTAAGTACTTCCTGATATCTAGGAACCAGGACTGTGCTGGGTATTGTAAGGAATTCACTGCTCTTGGGGCAACAAAGCTCACACATGAGAAGGATCAGTGAGCATACACTTAGTGCAGTGACTCAGGGCCAGTTTATGGGATGATAATTGTAAGGCAGGTGGGGAACATCCAGCCTGCGGGCTATATACAGCCCTCAAAATCATTTGGTCTGGCCCTGCCAAGGCACCCGCAGGCAGGACTTGAAATTCAATAAATCAAGAAGCTTTTTCCAAAGCTAATTTTTAAGTTGATAATTTTGTATGGCCTGCTGTTATAAGTATCTATATGGCTCTTGGCAGAAAAAAGGTTCCCCATCCCTGCTCTAAGGACTGGAAGAGCACAGAGGCAGGAGATGAGTAATGTGCTCACTGAGGAGGTGACCTTGAAAGATGGGTAAGGAGGTCTTGGTAGTTAAGGTTGAATGTGTAGTGAGGCCAGACCCCTGGCGCCTTAAGACTCACATGGAGAACTTTAGTAAGAGTGCAAAAGGCAACAGAGAGGCAATACAGGTATTTGGCTTTTTACTTTGTTTTATTTTTGAGAAGAAGAGAGGCCTACTTTAGGACTGTCTTTGAGAAAATTCTGGCAGCCTAGGGAGTCTAGTTGGAAAGTCTTTGCAGGAATCCATGTAAAAGGAAAAGAAATCTGGCTCTTTCTATTATTTTTTTTAATGATAGATACTGTTTTCTTTGGAGGGATTAGGAAAGGATTTCTTGTGAGCCAGGTATTGTTAAGTAGTTAAATGCATTAGTTTTTAATCATCACAGCATGGTGAGGTAGGTACTATTATTATCCTTATTTTAGAGTTGAAGAAATGAAGGCTCAGAGAGAGTGAGTGCCTTGCTTGGGTTCACATATCAGTAAGTAGTGAGCTAGGAATTTTGACACTGGCAGGGTGCTGCCTCAGTAAAGGCAGTCCTATCAGATTCATTCCCATCGGCCAGGCTTCTAGGGGGCAAAAGGAGGAGTTTATCTCTGAGCTGATTACTGACTACTTTGCAGGGCCCCTTGATCCTGGGCCCTTTGCCAACTAGGGGCTAAATGCTGCTGTCTGGGCAGTCCTCATTCTTCATTTGTCTGAAAAACATGTACTGTTTTCATTCCAAAGGCAAAGAATCTAGGCAGGAGACATTCCAAGTTTGGGGATAAAACTAAGCTCCTAGCCCTCCCTGCTCCCCAAGGCCTACAGAACTAAATGACCACTGTGACACTTAGAGAAACAAATGCACACACACCCAGAGATGGGCTCACACATGTGCATACACACATCCTCCTCTGACAGTGTCCAGGGCTACATGCCATCTCTTCCCTGCTTACTTTAATAGGCCTAAATTGCCAGCTACCATTTTTTTTTTTTTTTTGCAGAGTTCCTGATATTTTGGGTGGATAAATGTAATGCTACATGCACATTCCAGTTAGGATTTCGTTGGGTTTCAAGATAATTCTTTGAGGCAGGCAGGAATTTTGATTCCCATTTTAAAATGAAGAAACAGGCCCAATGCAGGGAACAGACTTGTCCATAGTCACATAACTGCTTAGAGCCAGGGCTTGCAGTCAGGCTGTACAGTTTTCTTGTAATGCAAATTGATTGCTGCCTTCAAGATGCTCAGTCTTCTCTGGAGGAGATGGAGTGGGGCAAGGCCTGATGGTACAGTTATTTGCTCAATATCTGCTCCCAATAGTATTTATTGATTTTCATCTCTTCAAGATCCTGTTAAGACTATAAAAGTGGGTCAGTTTTGATTCTACTTTAAAGGAGCTCCCTATTATATAGAGAGGACAGATATATCATATGCTTTTCTCAAGAGTCTGCTTTCAGAGAGGATAATATTTTAGTGAAGAATTGAATATCTAATGGTGTAATATTAGGGAGTAGTGTCTTGAAGGAATACTATAAGGGAGGGTATGTAGCCAGAGAAGATGGGAGCAGGAAATGGCGCCTCTGGTTTGTTTTAGCTATTTTTTAGCGCCACCTGGTGTGTACCTTGAGGAGGTTCCACTCCCTTTTTCCGTGACAAAATGGGCAGAAGACTGTAGTTCGTCAGCAGTAAGAGAGCAGCCTAGACATTTCTTCCTCTTCTCTCACCCCTTGTTCCACCACATCTTTAGAAGCTTCAGATATTGATGACCAATCTGGACCTGGGGTTTTTTTAGAGGTTGAGTTCTTGTTTCTGTCTCTTTTATTTCACCTACTTAACTCAGTGGTCAGTGCTGTTCTCTGTGGCCCCCTGCTTGTTTTGTAGCCTATCCTTTTTCTGCTGTACCTCAAGTCTAAGCCATGTATCAGTTGTCTTCTTCATCACCATTTTCCCCTTCTATCCTGGTCCCCTGGTAACTTGGTGGTTCCTACTAAAGTAGGAAGACCTGAGAGTGGCTAAGTTCTTTCCCTCTTCCAGAGGGATTAGCAAACTCTTACTCTTCCTTCTGGGTCTAGCCCATGCTTCACTTTTCTGACCCCTTTCAGGATAATCACTCCATCCTTTGGGCTCATCCAACACCTTCTATATCTATCTATTGTAGAACTTATCACATTGTGTACAGTTATCTCTCTGTCTAAATTGGATTAGATAATGAGCCCCTCAGTGGGAGGGACAGTTTTCTCATTCATCTCCATATATCTAGGGTTTAGCACAGAGCTTGGCATTTAGTAGACACCTGAAAGTACTTGGTGAATGAACGAATGGATGAATGAATATAGATAGACATGTGGAGGAAAGAAGGGAGGAAGGAAGGAGGCTCACTTGGTTGGATGGAAGATTTTGTCAGTGAACAAGGAATGTGTAGGTGGGGAAAAGGAATATATATTTTCATTATAACTGATGACCTTGAGATTTTCTCCCCCATGGAGGATACTGAAGGGAACTCAGGCCTTGGGGAAGCAGAGGGCTCTCCCAAACTCTGTCCAGCCCCTTTAGCATGAATTTCATTTTTCTATGTTTCTGGTAACAGGTCTTCAGGAGTCCAAGAGGTACAGCTCAATGGTTCCTTTCTCACCTTCCTTAAATCTCCCCACTACCACGACCTCATTTATATCTCAGCCATCAGGCTTTCTCTGGATCTTTGGTCGAACTTGTAGGGTATTCTACATTTATATTGAACCTTCCAGACATCCTGGTATAAGGGGGATAACTATGGGATTCGAATTAAGATTGGAATTCTAGTTTCAGTTCTACCTATAGTTACTTCCCCTCTTGAAGTCATCCTATCCACACCTGTCCTAGGCTGGTAATGATACACTATATCATTATCTGCAGGGAGTACAAATGTGAAATATCTTGTGACCTACTAGTTGTTAGAATTTCAGCATGTCAGACACATTAGAGGAAGGATTCAGATACCTGGGAACCTAGCTTCACAGCTTTTATTACTGGTGGCAAAAGGATGGCCAGTGTAAGAATTGTGGTAATGACTGTGGTTTCTGTTGGCACTGAGCTAACTCGGAGCCACAGAGTCAGTGTAATAGGGAGAATATATATACTGAGTGCTGGAGCCCTCAGTTTCCTCTTTGATGCCATGGTGCATGGCATGTTGGCTGGCATCCCCTTGCCTGGCCTCCTTCAGCTCCCTGCATCACCCCCCAGGCTGCACAAGGCCCAGGAGGAACACCGCACAGTGGAAGTAGAGAAGGTACATCTGGAGAAGAAGCTGCGTGATGAGATCAACCTTGCCAAGCAGGAAGCCCAGAGACTGAAGGAGCTGCGGGAGGGTACTGAGAATGAGCGGAGCCGCCAAAAATATGCTGAGGAGGAGTTGGAGCAGGTAGGAGAGACGACAAATTCTTGGACACTGAGGGAGCGGGTAGAGGGCAGGGGCCAAAAGTCTGGCTGAAAAGTTTCATGTGTGAGGACTTTGAAGTATGGTGAAAGAATATCTTTAAGAGTTACTAGACTCTTACCAGTAAGAATAGTAGAAAAGTTGCAAAAAATGGTCACTGTGATTTTCAAAGAACAGTGGGTAACAGGTAAGAACAGTTATGTTTTTCCTTTTTTACTGAGGTATTTACACAGACTCGAGTGTAGAGATTATAAATGTACAGCTGGCAAGCTTTTTACATGTGCATATGCCTGTGTAACCACCATCGATAGCAAAATATAGGATCTTTTAAACACCCCAGAAGGCTCACTTTTGCTGTCCCCTGCCAACTGTCACTATTCCTTCCTAAAGGGAACTATGGTGAGGGGTCGGGGGGGCGGTTTCCTTCTGAACACCGGAAGACTCTCCTTCAAGAGCCACAGATTGAACCCAGCCTGGCCCCAACTCCTTGACTAAATCTGTCCAATGTTTGAAAAGGAAAACTCTGGGGTCACTTAGGAGAACAGAGTTTCCCACAAGTACTGACACTGGATAATTCCCCACTGTCCCTTGCCAAGTGGGACTCCCTATCACCTCGTCCTGGGCAAGGCCCAATCATTTACAGAGTCCAAAAACCAGCAGGGAAGGTTAGGGCAGTGAGAAATAAAACTTAATCAGTAAAGGGAACTATGGTTATAATCTCTAAACCAGATTAGTTTCACCTGATTTTAAACTTCATATAAATGGCATTATGTGGTATATATTCTTTTGTGTTTGGTTTCTTTCAACATTATGTCTGTAAGAGTCATCTATGTTATTGCATAAAGTGATTGCTGGTATATTTCCATTGCTGAATAATAATCCATTGTATACTGTAAGTTATTTATCCATTTTCCTCTGATAGACATTTGAGTTGTTTGCAGTTTTCTGCCTTTTGTGATCACCCTGTTGTGAACCTTCTTGCACACGTCTCGTGGTGGGCATAGCACTTATTTTTGTTGGATGTGTAATAGGGCACTAAATATTTAGCTTTATTAGAAACTGCTAGTTTTCTGAAGTAGTTGTACCAATCTATACTGCCACCAGCAATGTGTGAGAGTTCTGGTTGAGCTACAACCTTGGTATTTTTAGGCATTTTAATTATACACATTCTGGTATGGATTTAGTGGTATCTCATTGTGATTTTAATTTTCATTTCCCCAATGACTAATAATATTAAACACTTTTTCTTAAATTTATCGGCCATTTTATTTGGGATTCTGCAGCTTTATTCTTCTTCAAAACGGCCTTGGTTCTTTTAGGTCCTTTGCATTTCCATGTTAGCTTGTCATTCCGCTGCCTCCTTCTCATCCCCCTCCTCTTCCAAAACATGTCCTGTTGGAATTTTTATTGTGTTGGAATTGAATATATAGATTAACATGGGGAAAAATTTACATTTTAATTAAATGATTCTTCCAGTCTATGAGCGTTGTTTATCCTGTCACTTGTTTAGGTCTTTAAATTTTCTCACAGCAACATTTTGTAGTTTTCAGTGTAGAAGTCTTGCACTTAAAAAATTAAAAAAAAAAAACTTGCTCTTATTTTTCTAGTTTCTTGAGGTGGAAGATTAGGTCATCGATTTTAAACTTTTAATCTTTTCTAATATATGCATTTAGAGCTATAAATTTCCATTTCAGCACTGTGTTAGCTGCATTTACCAAGTTTTGATATTTCATATTTTCATTATCATTCAGTTCAAAAGATTTTCTAATTTTTATTGCAGTTTCTTTTTTGACCCATGGTTATTTAGAAGTGTGTTGATTAATTTTCAAACACTTGGCGACTTTTCTGGTTATCTTTCTCATTGATTTCTGGTTTAATTTCACTGTAGTCAGAGATCATACACTATAGAGTTCAGTCTTTTCAAATGTGCTGGGACTTGGTTTATGTAAACAGTAAACAATACAGTTGAATGGCAAAGAGTGTCAGACTGGGTAAAAAACAAAACCCACCTATACACTGTTTATAAGAGATACACTTTAAATATAAGGATACAAAAAGATTAAAACCAAAAGGAGGAGATAAGATACATGATACATACACTAAGCAAAATAAAGCAGAGGTAGTTATATCAATATTAGATAAAAGTAGGCTTTAGTATTACTAGAAGTATTACTAGAGACAAAAACAGACATTTCTTTTCTAAATATATCTTTATTGATTCCAGAGAGAGGAAAGGAGAGGGAGAGAGAGAGAGAGATAGAAACATCAATGATGAGAGAGTCATTGATCGAGCCCACAACCCGGGCATGTGCCCTGACCGGGAATTGAACCCCAAACACCTGGATCCCAGGCCGATGCTCAACCGCTGAGCCACGCCCGGCCAGGCTTTTTTTAAAAAAATATATCTTTAATGATTCCAGAGAGAGGAAAGGAGAGGGAGATAGAGAGATAGAAACAAAAAACAGACATTTCTTAATGATTAGTGTGTGAATTCAGTACTATATAACAATCTTTGGTTTGGATACATCTATTTAAAAATATATAAAGCAAAAGTTGAAAAAACTAGAAGGATAATAGACATTCATAATCAAAATTAGAGATTTTAACACACCTCTCTCAATAATAAGCAGCCAAAAATGTAAGGATATAAAATATGTAAACATGATTATTCAATTTTGACCTTATTAACAACATCAAGAGCATTTTACCTAACAATTACAGAATACACATTTTCTTTAGTGTTCACATACTGCTTCTGCTCTATTCTCTCCTCTCCTTCTGGGAATCCAGTATTTATGTCAGACCTTTTAACTGTATTCCATATGTCTCTTAGGCTCAGTTCTGTTTTTTTTGTCTCTCTGTACTTTGGTTTGGTTATTTTCTATTCATTTATCTTTGATTTCTCTAATCCTGTATTCTGCTGTGAACATTGCATTATTTAACCCATTCAGTGGAATTCTCCTCTCAGATAATGTATTTTTCAGTTCTAGAATATCTATTTTATTCTTTTATAGATTCTGGTTCCCTTTCCAAAATTTCCATGTTTTCATTTATTGTGTTTTATCTTTTCCTATTTTTTCTTTTAAAAAATATACCTTTATTGACTTCAGAGAGAGGAAGGGAGAGGGAGCGAGAGAAAGAATGATGAGAAAGTCATCATTAATCAGCTGCCTCCTGCACACCCCCGACTGGGGATTAAGCCCGCAACCCGGGCATGTGCCCTGACGGGGAATCGAACCACAACTCCCCCTGGATCCTAGTTTGATGCTCAACCACTGAGCCATGCCTGGCTGGGCTGCTTTAACTTTTTAATCATGCTTATTTAAGTCCCAGTCTGGTAACTCTAACATCTGAATCATTTACAGAACTTCTTTATCTTAATTATTGGTAATATTTTCCTGCCTCTTCTCATGTCTAGTAATTCATTTTTATTAAATGCTGGACGGTGTATACAAAACATAATAGAGGATCCAGATGATGTAACTTCCATCAGGTATAGGGTTTCCCCTTTATTCTATTAGGTATATAGGGTGAGGACCTAATCACCTCAAGCCAGTCAGAGATTGAGTTATGTTGGAACTGGGTTGTAGTTTTAGTAAGACTTGGTCTAGCACTCATTTGTCACAGTTTCTCAGGCAAGTCCCTTCCTCACTTTTTATTGAGAATTGGTGGATTTCTTTCAGTCCTGAAAGATGAGAGATTTCATTTCTGCCACTTAGAGGTTTTGAATTTAGCTCTTTAGCCTCCTGCTCCTCATAGGTTCAAATTTTTGCAGATGTCTTGAGGGGAAGACTGTGTGTTTGAGGCGGGTCCCCTCCTTCTTGCAATATTTTGCCTCCTAAGCATTATGAAAGTATGGGAGATTTTGTTTCACTCTTTGGCCTAGCTACCTATTCTCCTGCACAGCTCCAGGATTAAGTAAATGCCCAACAAAACTGGATATATGTTGGGGACCCCTCAATTTCCAATTTGTTGTATCAGTACCATACTATCAACAAAAGCTAGGCCCAGTTTCTCTGTGTCCCAGTGGAGTCCTTCTGCCTGGGCCAGACCTAATTCTCAGCCCTTACCTAGAATTGTCAAATGCCTTTGGGGAAGAAAATGGATGGCAGTTGTCATCTCATCTTAGGCTTTTCCCTCTCTGGATTTTCAGTTCATCTAGTTTAGTGGTTCCTGAAACTTTTTGGTGTCAGGACCCTTTTACTCTTAAAAATTATTTTGGATCTCAAAGAATATTTCCATGGGGACAATATGTTGCTATTTACCCTGTAAGAAATTAGAACTGGGGCCCTGGCAAGGCAACTCAGTTGGTTAGAGTTTCATCCTGCTATGCCAAGGTTGCAGGTTCAATCTCTGGTCAGGGCACATACAAGAATCAAACAATGAATGTGTAAATAAGTGGAACAACAAGTCTATGTTTCTCTCTGTCTCTCTCAAGTCAAATAAATTTAAAAAGAAATTAGAACTGGGAAAAAATTTAAAAATATTTATTAATTTAAAAGAAGTATATTAAATCCCTTACATGTTAACACAAATACTATATTTTTATGAAAAATGACTATATTTTCCAATGTAGAAATAACTTAATGAGAAAAGTGATTTTTAAAAATAATTTTTAAATATTTTTAATGTTTGGCTTAATATGCTGCTGGGTTCTTATATTAGTGTCTGTATTTAATCTGTTGTGCTATCACTCATCATGTTGCCTCTGGAGAAGTCCACAGTTCAGTTGTGAGAGAAAGGGAGTGAAAAAGGTAAATAATTTTTAGTATTATTAGGAAAATAATTTGACCTTAAAGATGCTCTGAAAGGGTCTTGGGGGTACTCACAGATCTCTGGATCACAGGTTGAGAACTGCTAACCTAGTCTTTATTGCTTCTACAGCTCTGTCTTTGAAATTTTTTCATAATTATAATTTGCCTTTCAAAATTTTTATAACTTGTACAGCTTTTTCCAGATGTTGTATTGGATCAGAATTATTCTTTTGCCATGACCTACTGCTTTCTATGTGGAGGTGGATAATCAGGTGATAATACTTTAAAGCACACAGATCGGTGGTTGTTAACTTTGCTGCATATTAGAATCATATAGAGAGCATTAAAATTTGTTTGATGCTCAAGCCAACACCTTGGCTCAGTGAAATCAGACTCTAGGTTACAGTCCAGATTAAAGTTCCCCAGGTGATTCCAGTATGTGACAAGGTTGAGAACCATAGGCATAGAATAAAAGAACAGGACTGACTAGTGAACTCTGACTTGCCCCAGCCCTTATCTGTTGTCTTCTACTTCAGGCATTTGTTATTTGTGTGCACAAGATGTGTCTCTGTCTCTTTGCCTCCCATCGCCTAATTCCCTGTTCCCCATTTTGTAATTATTTCTCCCACTAAACAGTTTTTGAGCCTGTTAGGCCAACCCTTTTGTGTGCCTCTATTTGCTTTCTTTTTTCTTTTCTCTCTCCATTGTCCCCTTCTTACCTTATCCTAGTCCTTAAACTGCTTTTAATGTAAAACTTGATCATATAATTTCAGACTTGGTATATTAGACTCTAAGGTATCCATTCTTCATTTTAGATATACAAAGGCAGGAGTGGGCCATTTTATAGTTCCTTTTTCAAAAACCAAGTGAAGATTGACCCTCTTACTGGCTCACTAAGGAATAAAGGTGTTCTGTCCTTAGTTAAGGCCTTCCCAGTCTTAGGCTGTGGAGAGGACCTCAGGCCTGCTATGGGATACTTGCTCCATTGGCTGACTTTGGGCACAGTGAGATAGCTCTCAATCTCTCTTCTCTGTGATTCTGACCAGCTGAAAGTCAGTGTCTAGATGGGGGAGTTATGGATCACTTACACTGGTAACCTGAGTTAGATTGCAAGGCATCCAATCCAATGTGTGTACTATCTGTATGTACTTTCAGACCTTTCTCACTTGAGTGCTCTGTGACTGTCTCCTTTATTGTATGATCCTCCTGAGAAGTCAGTGAGGAGATTTATGCTTACACACCAGTCCATTCATGTCTTGGCCTCTTGGCCTCTGTTGGCAATGCCCATGTTAGGTGTAAGCGTGCTTCTTGTCTTCTCACTTTGTAGAGAGTTTGCTTCAAAGCCTATCCTCCTGCTTGGTGGGAGAATCACAGACAAAGTCTCTGGGCTAGAGAAGACTGGAGATCATTCAGGTCCATTCCTTTGTAGAATAGCAATCATTTTTAAGTCTCTATGACATGAGCTCTAGACATACCTCTCATGATGAAGAGCTCACTCTCCTGAGATTCAGAAAGTCTTCCCTCACACTGAATTGAGATCTGCTATAGGAAGCACAGGGTCACACAGCCAGCTGAGTAATAGACCAGTGACCAGAACCAGACTTCTCAATTCCCAACCAAGTGATTTTTTTTGCCACACTGTGGTGTCTTGAGGTCCAAGCACAGACTCCAACTCTTGGAAAGAAGGTTATTCACTGATCTGACCTGTGCCTCAAGAGAGCAGGGAAGATTACTGAGATTGGCTACATGACCAGGAGAGGCAGTTAATATGTGGGAAAAGAGTGATCTAATCTGGCAGCCAAAAATCAATTTGAGTTCTGGTTGATACTATAGTAGTCCCTCCTTACCTGAGGTTTTGCTCTCTATAGTTTTAGTTATCCACTATCAACAGCAATCCAAATATATTAAATGGAAAATTCCAGAAATAAAGAATTCATAAGTTTTAAATTGCACACCATTCTTAGTAGTGTGATGAAATCTTTCTACCTGGGAATGAATCATCCCTTTGTCCAGTGTATCTACACTATCTATGCTGCTCGGCAGATAATCACTTAGTAGCCATGTTGGTTATCAGATTGACTATCCTGGCATCACAGTACTTGTGTTCAAGCAACCTTTATTTTACTTACTAAGGGCCCCAAAGTGCAAGAGTAGTGATGCTGGCAATTCGGATATGCCAGAGAAAAGCTCTGAAGTGTATGTATGTACAGGCATGCCTTGAAGATACTGTGGGTTTGGTTCCAGACCACTGCAATAAAGCAAGTATTGCAGTAAAGCCAGTTGTAATCTTTTTGCTGGTGGAATGTCTTGCCTTCAAATTTGTTAAATACACAATATCTATGAAGCACAATAAAGTGAAGTGCAATAAAACAAAGTATGCCAGTATAGGAAAAATCATTATATATATAGGGTTTGGCACTACCCATGGTTTGAGGCATCCATTGGGGGTCTTGGAACTTATTCCCTGTGGATAAGGGGGATTACTGTGCTTTCTGTGTGATCTTGAGTAGGTTTCTTTCCTTCTCTGAGCTTGTTTCCTTGTATGGAAAATACAGAGAATAATCCTTGTCCTTTCTCCCTCTTGGGAGAATTATAAAGCTCATATAAGATAGCAGGTAAGAACTCTGAATTCTGAAATATGATATAGAGGCATTGGAGAGGGTTATGGTAGTAGTAAATGGATTTACCTCCTCTTGGCTGCACAGGTTCGGGAGGCCTTGAGAAAAGCTGAGAAGGAGCTAGAGTCACACAGCTCATGGTATGCTCCAGAGGCTCTTCAGAAGTGGCTGCAGTTGACACATGAGGTGGAGGTGCAGTACTACAACATCAAGAAGCAAAATGCCGAGAAGCAACTCCTAGTGGCCAAGGAGGGGGTGAGACGTGCCCTCATGCTGCCCTCTTCTCTCCTCCTCTCCCTCCCTTTCACCTGCCCTTCTTCCTCCTTTCTGCCTCTCCCTATGCTTCCTGTTGGACAAAGAGATATCCTGGTGCTGGGTTCTGTTTCTTTTCCTAATATACAGCTCTTGATAATGTCCTCAAGCTTCTGGAGCAGGGAATGAGGGTGTGGGGGTATCCCACCTGCCTTCTGGGAAAGATGCTGCAAGTGGAGGCAGGCAGAGGGAAGACTCTGCCATCCCTAGACTGTCATGGGGGCAGAATCCTCCTGGTGCTCGGGTACTGTCAGGGAATCCCTTTGCTTCTCGTTTCCTGTGTTTCCTTTCTTCCACTACTCTTTTCCCCTCCCCTTTCCATTTCCCACCTTCTCTTCCTTTTTCTTGTGCAGCCTAAGCTGTGTTAGGAGGAGGGGGACCCACCTACAGAAAGACATTCCTCATTTTTCCAACTTCTAATCCCTGCTTTTTTTTAATCTGAGGGCCTCATCTTTGCAGGCTGAGAAGATAAAAAAGAAGAGAAACACACTCTTTGGCACCTTCCATGTGGCCCACAGCTCTTCCCTGGATGATGTGGATCACAAAATACTAACAGCTAAGTAAGTAGCACCTGCTGCTCAGCTCTGGCGATGTCCATCCCATCCTCAGAGTTTGAGGGTATATAGGGCTTCCAACGCCAATTCTACTTCATTGGTAGCAGAACAGCTCTGGTCTTCTGCCTCAGCCCTTATCCAGCTCCCGCCTTGCTCTTAAGTTTATGATTTGTTTTTCTTATTTACACATAACCCCTCAAGTTGTTCCTCTAAAAGGCCTCATTCCTACTGGGGCTCACACCCAGCCCAAGCCTGCAATTCTCTTTCATCTATTCTCAGGCAAGCTCTGAGTGAAGTGACAGCAGCACTGCGGGAGCGCCTGCATCGCTGGCAGCAGATTGAGATCCTCTGTGGCTTCCAGATTGTCAATAACCCTGGCATCCATTCACTGGTGGCTGCCCTCAACATAGACCCCAACTGGATGGGCAGTACGCGCCCCAACCCTGCCCACTTCATCATGACTGACGACGTGGATGACATGGATGAAGAGATTGTGTCACCCTTGTCCATGCAGTGTAGGTGATCTCTTGGGTGGAGACAAGGGAAGGACCCTTTGATGCACACACAGGTTGTGAAGTCATTGGCCACTGCTGTGCTTAAATAGCACATGGAACAGATACCAAGGAAGATAGTTTAACTCATGACCTTGGTTAATAAAGCACAATTTGCATCAGGATATTCCTTTATAGTTGTCCTTTCAGTGGTTTTTCCTTGCTTTATGCTCTGTCTGCCCTTCTGGGTCTATTGTATTAAGTGTGTCTCCCTTCGGTGTTTTCAAAATCCCTTTATTTACCTCTGCCCTCCCCCATCTACCTTTATAAAAATAATCTTAGTGGTTTATGATATAAAAATGGCATTTTAACTAATTTATTTTATTGCTTTTGTTTCCATTTTATATTCATTATTCTTTGTTGCTAATATAGATGAATGAAATGTCTCTTTCTCTTTGGCTTTTTGTGAGACCCCAGGAAACAATCCCTTAAAGTGATATAACCCTAAATCCTCCAAGTCAGAAAGATATTCTTGTCCAGGAGGGATCTCCTGCACAAGCATGTCTGGCTTTCCACCTGAACTCAGACCTCCCCACCCTCTGTCCTGGGTCTTTCCTTTCCCTCTTCTCCTGTGAGTGATAACAGCTGAGTAGAACAGTTGAAAGAGACAACACTATGTGGGAATTCTCTGGTGAATGAAGGAACTTATCCATTACTGGCCCAGTTGAGGTTTTCTCTGGATCAGAGGCTATTTTAGATAAGTAGACTAGAGCCTTATAGAAAAACTGTTGTTCTGGGCTCATATTCCATGGGTGCAGAAGGGATGGCAAAAAGCTGGGGCTGGGTAAGGGGCTTACTTTCAGAAATCCAGATTCTTTAATCAGGCTGGATTCTAGCTCCAGACAGGACTTATTTATACATTTCTTCAATGATACATTGCCTCTGGCCAAGCCTCTTTGTCTACCTAGTCTGATATCTTCTCAGGGATTTTATTCAAAGGCAACAAGGTTAGGATCACTGGCAGGCAGAGCTTGATCCTTGATATAAAGGCTCCTATGTTCTCTGAGTTGGGAGGGCCCTTCATTAGCTCTGAGTTACCCACCCCTTGCCCCCTGGCCCTTCCCTTATCCCATTGGTGGGCAAGCTGAAGCCCTCTGTAAATCAGATTCTCTTCTCCTTTTGGCCTGGCTGTTGGACCCTAGATGCTGCCTGGCTGATGGGGCGTAGGTTCAGTGACCGCTCTCTCTGCTCAACATCCGCCGGCTCGGATGATCAGTCCCTCTGGAAATACCCGGGTTTGAGGAGCCCCTTTGGGGCTTTTGTTTTTCCAACTTTTGGGACTAAACCAACACTCCTATCCCATGGGCCCCTTCTCCTGCCTGCCTCACTCCCCTGCCTGCTCCCTCAATTTCCTAAGCACTGTCCCTACTAACTGCAGGGAGGGGTTCGGGGGTGAGAAGAATCAGCCTGCTCAGCCTGCTCACATGGGCTGGAGAGAGAACGCCCATGGTGATGGAAGGCTTAAGCTTCTTCTTTTAGCCCAGTTAGACAGATGTCCTGGTGGCCCTTCTTCCAGCTGGCTGGGATGGAAAGATTCTCCCCCCTTTCTCTTTTTCATGTCTCTCCCTTGTCCCGTTTCCCCTCTCTTTCTCTCTCCCTATTCCATGTTTCCTTTTCCTCTTCCACTCTGCTTTCATGCTTTGAAAGCCACCAGCCATAGAAGCCCTGCCTCCCCAGCTCTCCATCACCATGGATTTTTGCTCTCTCCCTGGTGGCCCTTCCAAGTCTTCTGCTACCCTTGTAACCTGGCCCTTTCTCCTATTATTAGGGAGAAGGCAGAAAGGCCTGTCTTTCAGGGTAGAAGAGAAAAAACAAAGGTGTGAATTCTGTTTTCAGCTGGGGCTGGGAGACCAAGGGGAATGCTCCTGAGTTATCTGGTGTCCACGTAGCCCTTCACTGGGCATGGTGGTCATCATCTTTGAAGAGCCTGCTTTGCAGCACTGATTCAAAAGCTGGTTCTTTTTCAGTCTTCTTGTGAAGTTTTAAAATAATTTTTGTGTGATCAAGATAATGATAACCACTACCATTTGTTGAGTGCCAAGAACTGTATCAGGTACTTTAAATACATTATCTTGAAGCCTTACGACCAGGATTTTATAAGTTAGGCATTAAAATAGGGATGTCAGTTGCTCAAGGTCACGCAAGTGGAAAGGCCTAGTTTCAAACTCAAGTCTTTTGTATTCCATAGCTCGAGGTATTTCTTTTACATAAAATTTTGTATCCTTTTTTGTTTTCCCTGAGCATTTTAATAGGCATTTTTCTATGTGTTTAAAATCTTTTCATAAATATCATTTTTAATAGGTATATAGTCTTCCAGTATCTGGATATATTATCACATTCCCATCGTTCCACCTTTATGTTTGCTTTCATGCAATTATTAATAATGATGTGATGAATATGTTTGTGTATAAATTGTCTAAACTATGAATTATTTCCTGAGGTTGGCTTTCTGAAAGGCTGGTTCTTAGTGCTCTCCCGAACCTTGCCCCAAACCCCCATCCTACCTTGTCCTGCCTGTGTCCTCCCACTAACTGCCCTGTCATATCCCTTTATAGTAATGTTGGCCCTAGATTTCCTTCCATTGGAATTGCCACTAAACTGACCTGGGCACCTTATCTTCAGTTTCCCCTTTTAGGACCCCTGGTGGGAGGTTTTGGGGAAGAGGTACCCCATTCTTCAGATTGGGCACTAGAGGCCCAGAGTGGTTTCCAGCAAGCATTTCTCCGTGGGCACACCTGTTTGCCTACCAGCCCAAAGGAGGCTGGCCCTTCCTCATACTGTCTTCACTTTCCTTGCAGCCCCAAGCCTGCAAAGCAGTGTCCGGCAGCGCCTGACGGAACCACAGCATGGCCTGGGATCTCAGAGGTTGGTAGAGGGTGAGGCTGGCCACTTCTTGACAAGCCGGGTATCTCTGAGGCGAATGCGCAGCCTTTCATCTGGACAGTCTTTCAGTTCTGAAGGCCACGGGACCAGCTCTCCATCTGCCTCTGCTGCTGCTTCTTCCTGCTCCTCTACCACCACCACCACCACCACCGCCACCACCACCACCATCCATGTCCACCCTGTTTATTACCACCAAAGCACTTCCTATTTCCTCCAGATGGATCCCTCCTCTGACCCACCCACTTCTGACAGCACCACTGTGATGCCTGGGCATTCAGAGAGCTTGGGGTATCAGCTGTCTCTCTTCTCTTTCTTCCCTTCCTTCCCTTTCTACTGCCTTTACTTTGGCCTCTGCCTGCTGGCTGCTGCTTGGTCAGCTGTGGGTGTGTGTGCAGTGCAGGGGTGTGCAGTGTGTTTTTCCCCAGCCCTGGGATTCCTTAAGGTCAGCATAACTCCCCACACCTTTCTTGCCTTCTGTGTTTGGGGTTTGCTGACTCTAACCCCCTCCCTCATGGTCCCATAGCACTTCTGCCTAAACTATGCACTTTTATATCCGTTATCTCAGTGGAGGCCTCACTTCCTTTACTTCAACAAACATTTATTGATATCTACTCTGTGCTAGGCTCTGTTGGGCATGAGGTTTCATAGATGATAAGATATAATCCCAGCCATTAAGAATTACAGTCTGACTTGGGAGAGGTACATAAATAATTACAGAACAATTTGCTAAGTGCTATGGGGGTGTTGAGGAGGGAGTGACTAACAATGTGTACTTGGGTGGAACACTTCATAAAAGAGATGACATTTGTGCTGATATCCTGTGTACAGTAAAAGGAGAAAGTGTATTCTAGGCTGAGGAAGCAAAATGTGCAGACATGGAGATTCAAGAGAATCTGGTACTTATGGTCAGAACATTGGATATGTGTTGGTGTGAAGGGGTAGCAAATGAGGCTAGAATGATGAAGGACTCTGAATGGGTAGGGACTTTGGCCATTACACTTTAGGAGACAGAGTGTCTACAAGGAAGTTAATTGCTGAGATTTGCATTTAGAAATAAGGTCAGTGGTCTATATTAAAGGAAAGGAGGAGACAACAGGAACTTGGAAGTCATTGTAGTAGACCACTAGGGGGAGGTAACGAAGTGTTCTGATAGGATTAATTTGGTAACTGGCTGTGAGGGGTGAGGGAAGAGGAGGAATCTGTGATGACACCTGGGTTTCTAGCTTGGATGACTGAATGGATGTACCTTTCATGGAATTAGGGAACAGAAGAGGGTAAACACATTTAGGGGTTTGGACAAGAAAAGTTGCCGGTGTGTGTGTGTGTGGAGGGGGCGGGCATTAAAATAGTCAATTTCAGAGTAGGAAGTTAGGCTCTGAAAGGTTAAGTAGTTTTCCCCAGGTCCCACAGCCAATTAGGAGAACATAGAGTAGAACTTGGTTTTTCATTCCAGGACACTCTGTTGGATATTTTTGTCCTTCCACAAGGTCTCAATAAGTGAACTGTATAAGAATTGGTCAAAGGCTTTCTCCCCCAGCTTGGTCTGGCAGCTGTAGGGACTTGCCCGGTTGATACCTCAAGATGATAGGGTCAGAGACAGTAGCCTTGACCTTGTCTGAAATAAGCTTAGGGGACCCTCAGAAAGTCCCTCTTCTCTGGAAGAACCTTCATCTCTGAAGTTGTGACCATGGCCCAGTCTGGCCTCCTGGCTGCTACCTGCTTACCCTGTAGTTGTGTTGGTCCTGCCTCATTCTGGATACCAGTCTCACTAGCTCTGCCCCTTGAACCTCTAGATTACTTATCCTTGAGGGCTGTTCCTTTTTCTTTCACGAAGGAACTGCCTTTATTAGCATTATCACTCGGCTGAGCTGCTCATCTTCATTCTCATCCTCATTTTCATCCAAAAACCTAGGCAGGGAGACTGCCTCTCCCAAAACAGATGGAGAGGTCTGAGTTGGTTTAGGGGTACTAGGAGATGCTGTGAATCTCATGCTCTAAGGCCTAAGCTGAGGCCAGCGGGGA